CATAATCCTTCAGAAATCATTCTAATATGCTGATTTGCTGCTCAAGAAACATTTCTCATTATTATCAATGTTAAAAACAGTTTTGCTGCTTAATATTTTTGTGGAAACAATGATGACACAAACATTTGTATAAGTATTTTTTTTTAAAGAGAGAGCAATTAATAATTTTATTCATCATGCATGAAAGTGATAAAAATGAGTGAAGACATTTAAAATGATTTCTATTTAATAAATGCATTAACAAATTTAATTAATAGGCTATATTTGATAAATGCAAATAAATGCTGTTCATTACACTTTATATTTATCAAAAAATCCTGAAAAATAAAGTGCATCACCATTTCCACACAAAATATGAAGCAGCAAAATTGTTTTCAACATTGATAATAATCAGAAATGTTTCTTGAGAGTCAAATAAATTGTAATAATTTCTAAAAGATCATGTGACACTGAAAACTGGAGTAGCCTAATGATGAAGAAAATTCTGCTTTGCATCACAGGAATAACATTACATTTTATAATATATTAAAATTGAAAACCTTTTTTTTTTATATATATATATATAATATTTCACAATATTGCTGTTTTGTTTGTTTTTGTACTTTATTTTGATCAAATAAATTCAGCCTGGATGAGCAGAAGATATTTATTTTAAAATCATTAATAATTGTAATGTTTCCAACATTTTGGCAGGTACTTATAAAAATTCTATATACTTTACTGTATAATACATTATTGTACTTTATTATAATATATTATATTATATTGTTATCATGATTATTAAATGCTGCTTTTTATTTTTTGAAGGACGATAGTATGTATTACAATATAAGATATATCTTTTAATGTGCTAAAATATATTTTTTTAATAATAAGTGCTGGGGGCGTGACTTGTGGCGTGGTGAGGTTTTACTTCTTTTTTTGTCTCTAGCTGATCACATGCCTGTATTTTGTAACGTTATCTGTTCATTAGTGACATGTATTTGGCATGTTAGTTATACTTGTCAGTAGGGTTGCAAAGGGGTGGAACATTTCTTGGAAATTTCCGGAAACTTTCCAAAAATCCCTAGAAGGTTCCAAAAAATCCTGGAAAGTTTTCCACTTTTTTGCAACCCTACTTGTCAGTTATGCTAATATTCTTCCTGAACTCAAACTATCAATCTAGCTAGATGTGCATAGAGAGGCATTGTGAACTATTACAACTGTGTTCTGTGTATGTGTTGAACAGTTTTTGGGACTGGGAGAAAGGAGAGAGGTTGGATTATTTCTACAATGGGAACCCACGATACACACGCATTACAGCTATGGAGTACCTTAATGGGCATGACTGCTCTCTCCTCCTCACTGCCACTGGTCAGTTCACCTACTATTCATGTTGAAGCACACTTTGATCGGTTCTCATGTTTGTCGCTTTCTGTGCTGACTTGCTCCATGCCACTTTTTGTGCAGATGATGGAGCTTTGCGAATTTGGAAGAACTTTGCTGACCAGAGGAATCCCGAGATGGTCACAGCGTGGCAGGGGCTGTCCGACATGCTGCCCACTACACGAGGTTTGCTTTCACACTTATACACTCTCTGTGCAAATACTGCGCTTCTTCTGTCATCTGAGTTTCTTTTCCCCCGTTTACTCTCTGCCCATGGGTGCTCTGGTATGAAAGCAGAATGTTGGTCATTATATTAGTTGTAGTTTTGTGGGTCTCTTTCAAAATTCTTTAGTTTGCTGTTATATAAGACAAATTGGCAGTTGTGTTTATTTCACAATTGTTTGTGTTGGACAACATTTGTGTAGTATTTCTTATCCTAACTGGAACTTTTACTATTTTGGGGTATGCATATAATTTATATAACATGTTAATAACTGGCAGTCAGCCTCAACTTTGAGACATATTTTTTGGAATAGTTCACCTCACCTGTACTCCATGCTGTTCAATCATTATTTTTGTGTTTAGTTTACAAAGTTTATTTTTAGAGATGCCCACAAGAGACAATTACAGTCCGAATAGGGCTAAAGCTGTTCCTTAGCATACTTTAGTACAATGGCTCCCTACTATGTTCTTGGAGTCACCCCATCACTTCACATTTTGCATGTCTCCTTAATCAGTCACATCTAATTCAACACATCAGCTCATTAGTAGAGACTCCAAGACCCTGAAATGGATGTCATACAAAGGAGACATTCAAAATGTTGACTCCAGAAACATGGTTGGGAACCACTTTTTTTTTTAGTGTACTTGGATTATAGCACACAAGTTGTTTTATGGTGTAGGAACTACTTTTGTGTTTTGTTTTTGGAGCTTGAAAGACACTATATAGGTATATATATATATA